ACCAGCTCTCAGTGATATGTGTCGGGTCTCCGCTATGACAACAGTAACTTTCTTAAATGTTTACATAACAAGCGGGAACCCAGTGTGCCTGTATCTTTCTCTATTGCTGTTCGATTACATGATAGAAGGTCTAAGGCCTTCAAAAGCCGTACAGCAAACCCATCTAATCTGGTACCTATTACACGCCAAACTAAGACTGCTGTGGGGACAAAAAGTAAGACTGTTAAGTTAGCACTTTTAAACATCCGCTCACTTAAAAATAAATCACTTCTAGTCAATGACTTAATAACCACATACAACCTGGATTTTATGCTTCTAAATGAAACCTGGCTAGAAGACAGCTGCAGTGCAACAGTCCTCAATGAAACAGCCCCTCCTAACTTTACTTTTATGAGTGTCTGCAGAGCTGTAAGGAGAGGTGGAGGAGTAGCTGCTCTTTTTAAGGATGTCTATCAATGTAAGCAAACGTCATTTGGTAACTACCCGTCTTTTGAATATCTCGGTATTGTGTTAAAAGGTGCCCCACGCATTTTACTTATCATTATTTACAGGCCTCCAAAATACTCTCCAGCCTTTGCTGAGGACTTTACAGAACTGTTATCAACAATTTCCTCAGAGTTCGACTGTTTTGCTATTGCTGGAGATTTTAACATTCACATAGATAATGATACAAATATGGCAAAAGAAATCAAAACTGTTTTAAAAACTTTTGATCTGATTCAGCATGTACACGGACCGACACACACTCGTGGACACACTCTAGATTTACTTATCAGTAAGGGTCTAAACATTTCATCGATTGTTATTAAGGATGTAGCACTGTCTGATCATTTCTGTATTTTCTTTGATATATTGATCTCTCCTGCCATTGAAGCTAGATCTGTGTCTGTCAAGAAGAGATGCATAAATGAGAACACTAGTGTACTATTTATGAAGGCTATATCTTCAACACCAAGCATATCGGCTGACTCTGTTGATTTTCTCCTTGATTGTTTTAACTCAAAAGTTAAAAGTGTAATTGATGATATTGCTCCTGTGAAAGTCAGGAAGAGTGGTAGACAAAAAGCACCTTGGAGAAACTCAACAGCTGTGCAAAATATGAAAAGACAATGCAGAAAAACAGAGCGCATGTGGCGGAAGACAAAACTTGTAGTCCATTATAACATCTACAAAGACACCATCCATGCTTTTAATATGGAACTAGGCAAAGCTAGACAGACTTTCTTCTCAAATATTATAAACAGCAACTTAAACAACACACGCACTCTTTTTGCTACTGTAGAGAGACTGACAAACCCCCCAAGCCAGATTCCCAATGAATTGCTTTCAGACAGCAAGTGCAGGGAGTTTGCTTCTTTCTTCTCTGAGAAAATCAATAATATCAGAAAGGTGATCAGCACATCATTGAGCCGCACTGGGGTCAGACAGATCAGACCACAACCGCAGAAAGTAGCTACTATGTCTGATTTTGAAGAAATTGATGGCAAAATTTTAGAAGAAACCGTACAGCACCTTAAAACATCAACCTGCGCCCTTGACGCACTTCCCACATCTTTCTTCAAAAGTGTGTTAAACTGTTTAGAAGCAGATCTCCTAGAAGTGGTAAATGCCTCACTTCTCTCTGGGAATTTTCCAAACTCCCTGAAAACTGCAGTTGTCAAGCCCCTCCTGAAAAAGAGCAATCTGGATAAGACCATATTAAGCAACTATAGACCGATCTCAAATCTTCCTTTCATAGGCAAGATCATTGAAAAAGTTGTCTTCAATCAGCTGAACAAATTCTTAAGCTTGAATGGATACTTTGACAATTTTCAATCTGGTTTCAGATCGCATCACAGCACAGAGACAGCGCTCATAAAGATAATAAATGATATTCGCTTAAATACTGATACAGGGAAATTATCAGTGCTGGTACTACTCGACCTCAGCGCTGCATTTGACACTGTCGATCACAACATACTTCTTGACAGGCTGGAAAACTGGGTGGGGCTTTCTGGGATAGTCCTGAAATGGTTCAGGTCATACTTAGAAGGGAGAGGTTATTATGTGAGTATAGGAGACCATAAGTCTGAGTGGACATCCATGACATGTGGAGTCCCTCAAGGCTCAATTCTTGCACCACTCCTATTCAACCTGTATATGCTCCCAATGAGCCAAATAATGAGAAAGAACAAAATCTCTTACCACAGCTATGCAGACGACACACAGCTCTACTTATCCCTATCGCCTAACGATTACAGCCCCATTGACTCCCTGTGCCAATGCATTGATGAAGTAAACAGTTGGATGTGCCAAAACTTTCTTCAGTTAAACAAAGACAAAACTGAAGTCATTGCGTTTGGAAACAAAGATGAAGTTCTCAAGGTGAATGCATACCTTGACGCTAGGGGTCTAACAACTAAAAATCAAGTCAGGAATCTTGGTGTGTCTCTAGAGTCAGACCTTAGTTTCAGTAGTCATGTCAAATCAATAACTAAATCAGCATACTATCATCTGAAAAATATTGCAAGAATTAGATGCTTTGTTTCCAATCAAGACTTAGAGAAACTTGTGCATGCTTTCATCACCAGCAGGGTGGATTACTGTAATGAACTCCTCACTGGCCTTCCTAAAAAGACCATAAGACAGTTGCAGCTCATACAGAACGCTGCTGCCAGGATCCTGAGCAGAACCAGAAAATATGAACACATCACACCAGTCCTCAGGTCTTTACACTGGCTCCCAGTTACATTTAGGATTGATTTTAAAGTATTATTACTGGTATATAAATCATTTAATGGCCTAGGACCTAAATACATTGCAGATATGCTCACTGAATATAAACCCAACAGATCACTCAGATCATTAGGATCACATCAGCTAGAAATACCAAGGGTTCACTCTAAGCAAGGAGAGTCTGCTTTTAGCTACTATGCCAGCCGCAGCTGGAACCAGCTTCCAGAGGAGATCAGATGTGCTCCTACAGTAGTCACATTCAAATCCAGACTCAAAACACATCTGTTTAGCTATGCATTTACTGAATGAGCACTGTGCCACTGTGTCCGACTGTTTGTACTGTATTTTATTTAATTTTTTATTCTAAACTGTTTTAATTATTCTTATTTCTTTTGATTATTTTAATCTCTTTATTCTTAACTGTTTTAATTATTCCTATTTCTTTTGATTTTTCTATGTAAAGCACCTTGAATTACCATTGTGTATGAAATGTGCTATATAAATAAACTTGCCTTGCCTTGCCTTGCCTCTCTATCAGGCTCCAAAACGCCATCAGGTGCTTGTAAGATGGGAATCTGAAATATATAATAGTATCCTCATGAGAAAGGGAAAACGGAGAAAATTGTAGTAACACATAGAAACGGACAATGGCAGACAAAGTACACAAATACTGTACATAAGTGAAAGTAAATCACTTAATATTCACTGCTGTTGAAATTACACAGCCTAGCCTCTCATTCTGTTCAATGTTTTTTTTTTTTTATATTGCTTCATTGTTTTCTATTTTTAAAGGTAAATGCAAAATGTTTCGACTGATGCTGTGTTGAGTTTGGTTATGATAACATTAATATTGTGCACAGAGGGGTCATAGCCCAAGTATAATAGTGGCCATTGCAATGACAGACTAGGATCCACTACCGATAGGCCAGAGCAAACAATAACAATTACGTAGTAATTCACATAATTAGCCTCCCCAAGAAAAGTAGGTACTGGATTACATTTACTTAGTTACTGTCCAACACTGAAAACAGAAAGTGGGATTGTAAATCTTACCTGGTGTAAAATCTAATGTCCTCAGGTGACGAGGCAAATCGCTGAAGTCCAAACGAATTGTTTAGATGGAGAGTTTGGACATGTTCTCTGAAGGCCTCAATTTCTGCCTTCATCCTCTCGTACTCTTCCCTGTCAACACAAACGGTGGGTCGGGCTTCGTGCTCCATCGGGACGGCTTCCTCATCTGGGATGGCCTCATCCTCGATGTCCTCCAGCTCAGGCTCTGGACTCGAGGGTTTAGTACGCCGTTCCCAAACCCCGGCACGTCTCTTCACAGAGTAATCGTTCCAGTGGAACAACGATGGCACTGCATTACGTGATAAAACCCGTCTACCCTTAGCAGTCGTCCGGATTAAATGTTCTTCAAAGTGACGACTGCATACCTTCGTGTTTTGAGTGACTGTAAATTCCGCCCTCCGTATTCTGTGCAGCCACTTAGCACATAGGATAGCCTCCTGAGGAAACCGATGAAAACTTAATACACTGTTGTGTCGACTTGAAGCCGAGCAACTTGGCACACAGCAGTGATCCTTTGAGCCGGCCACAGTTTTCATCAGTTTAAATGTACCACGTACATTGTACTTCTTTCGTACACCAGCACCACTCATTTTGCAAACAACGCCGGCGGCTCTGCTTTGGATGCTAGGATGTAAATAGAACGACTGGAAATGTATACGCCAACTTCTAGACAAACCGGAAGTTTGTTCCTTTGCCTGTGCACGTAGCCCATAGAGTGAGAGTTGCGACAACTCCATTGACTCCAATGGAACGTTTTTTTACAGCAATGGCGGCTCGCGGAGCCTCTCAATAGTTCCCGGAAGTAGCAGCAGCGCGGTAGAGTTACAGCAGAACAGACCGTTTGTGAGGCACGTTTAAAAGGTAAGACGATTAACCCTCAGAGCCCGACGGCATCGTCCACGACGTCACACGGCACCTCCGATAAATATTTATATTATTTGATGAAAGTTTTATCGATTTTCTTACCGTTTTTTTTCCAGCAGAAAGCTAACGAGCTAGCCGTCACGGTGGTGTCTTTGTAGCCTTTACAGAAGGTTTTCTATCCAGCCTGGAACTTGTGCCTCCTTTCGGAGTTTTTCAGCAATAAATCCAAACGCTTACATCCAAGATTTATCCACTTGATGTCCATAATTTATCAATTATCCGTCATTTTTGCCGCTAGCTCGATGCTAGCTGCCATTTTGGATATCACGTGATGCTTTGCGTGAGGTTGTTGACCAATGACAGGCTGATCCGTCGTCCACGTTGGTGTGCGTCATTACGCATGAACCAAGCTCTGATATTGTGGAGAGAGAGAGAGAGAGACGCACGGCAAAGTAGTTTTGAGGAGAGAGAGAGAGAGAGACGCACGAAAAGTTGTTTTGAAGGATACACAGAGAAACACAGAGAAAAATGGATCGTCAGAGAAACATGGATGCAAATCAAGCGCTGGCCTTTTTTGATGCCATGCAGGATGATGGATTTTCAGGAGAAGAGAGCTTTTTGACAGATGAGGAACTAGATTACCAGGATGGTCTAGACCCCGCTGAAGAGTAAGTGCCATTTATTTATTTACTGTAAAAGTATAAAAATAAAAAAAGTAGTGCTGGGCAACGATTAAAAAATTTAATCACGATTAATCGCATGAATTAATTGTGATTAATCGCATTGTTACGCGCAAGAGTGAATAATGAATTCTAAAGTAGTGTATTGCGCACTTTTGATTTAAATGTACTGCTATATACACAAAAGTGCAATAACATGTGGTTTGCCAAAACTTTAAACAAATAAGCTGCTTTATACCAGCAGTATTCCCTTTACACAGTAGCAATAAAATATGTATTGTAAATCTCAACTTAAACATTAATGTAATCAAATCAAATATTAAAACAAAGCTATGCCACTGCCAGGGCATTACCTTGTATCTAGCTTGTTAAAACGAGTCCAGTTTTCTTGTTTTTTTTTCTGAACAGGTATCAACAGGTACCTTTTATCAGGGAGCAGCAGAAACAGTCTATGTAGTCAGAGGTCATGACCACTACTACAGATATAAGTCGACCAACGTTACTTCTCTGATAGTAGCTTAGGTTTGGTCATGACATGGTTTCCCACGTACACTAGATTACATTAAACAGATGTAAAGCCCAATTTATACTTCTGCGTCGAACTCACGGCGTAGCTACGTACCTGCTGTGTGTAGCGCGCGCACCCTGACGTGCACCTCTCCAAAAATGTAACAATGCGTCAATTATACGCGTACCGCAAGCGCTGTGATTGCTAGAACCGACAAGCTAGTGCGACAAGCGAGTGTGTTCCTGTGAAACTGTTGCGGTCATGCTCGCCTCACGCACGCGCCCGCGCCCTCCCGTTGCCGAAGTTGAATTGACGACGCGCAGCACAAATCATTGGAAGAGAGACTGATCCTCGGCTCGCTGTTTGTGAGTTTCCACAATCTAAATAGTTATCAGGACGTCATCAACAGAAGGGAATTCACATGGCAGCGCATCTCCACTAAACTAAACGCAGGCCTATCAGGTAAAGTTACGTATAATTTTAATTTAAGTTAAAAAGGCTACAGCTGCGTAGCGCACAGAAGCCGTTGCCATAGTTACTATCCATAGAGCGCCTGTCATTCACTCGCGGAGCGCTGTCTCCCTTTCTGTTCACCTGAGAGAACCTGCCAAAGCCCCTCCACTGCTTGTTTGGGTGGGTTATTTGCTGGCTGACCAACATCCCACCCCTCCTGTGATCCATGGTTTGACTGTAGGCCTATGTGTATTCAGAGCCAGTGAGCAACGGACTTTCAAAATAATAATGATAAAAAAAAATGCGTTAACGTGCGATAAAAAAATTGTCGGCATTAATTAATAAATGCGTTAACGCGATAATAACGCGTTAACTTGCCCAGCCCTAAAAAAAAGTAATACGATAAAATAGAAATGCGCACAGTAGCGTTTTCTAAATATGTAAAAATAAGTTCTGTAAAAGTAGTATTTCGTTTTTCTATGTTTGTTACAGAGTAGTAAGAGTTGTGGATTACACTTTCTCAGCCATTTTTTGTCTGAGGTTTAGTGATTTTACCTAGAGATACACACAAAGGATGTTGTAGTGGGGGGTAGGTCACACCTTTTAGCTGTGGAGAGAATGTCTCAAGGATGCTGTAGTGGGGGTAGGGCTTTCAACACTGCTCACCTTATAGCTGTGGTGGGTTGGGTGTACAGTAGCAATCTCAGCCATTGTTATCTTATGTGAGAAATAAAATACAAAAACATTCATTGATCTGATATGTATGATCTAATATTTTGCTTTATTTATTTGTTTTACAGTCGTGATAATGAAGAAGACACCAGCCCACCCACTCAAGCCAGACAGGAAAGCTCCCATTCTTCCGCTGAGGAGGGCCCTTCCACTTCTGCTGCAGCATCCCAGCAGCTGCCAGGAATGGGTCATGGAAGGCTGCAGTCACGGTCACGAGGGAGAGCGCGGTCAAGGTCAAGATCCAGATCCAGATCCGGCAGCTTGAGGGGTCGACAGAGTTCTGAATCCACTAGGTCGAGTTCTAGATCACCACAGCCAGCAGCCCCAACTCCATCATGGAACAGTGAGAGTCAGCCAGACATCCCTCCAGTGCCCAAAAGGTTCGTCCCAACAAGAAAGCCAGGACATCAGCTCAGCCCCACATCCATATACACACCATTGGACCTTTTCAAACTTTTTGTCAGTGACAGTGCAGCAACCACTTTGTGTAATAACACAAACACAAATGCTGCAAAAAACATTGCCAGTGGCAAAAAATATTCCTGGAAAAACTTCACTGTTGAAGAATTTTTCAAATATTTAGGACTGACTTTCTTTTTTGCACTGGTGAGACTGACAAATATCCGGGACTACTGGAGGACAAATACCATTTTCAGCCAACAGTTTCCCCACTCAGTGATGGCACGTGACAGGTATCAGGTCATTTCCTGGAACATCCACATGAGCGACCCTGATGAAGATGTCCACAACGACCGGAAGAGAGGGACACCAGTTTATGAAGCCCCTTTTAGATGACATCAAACATGCATGCAGAGCATTTTATCACCCACGGCAGAACCTTTCAGTGGACGAGAGGATGGTGGCAACAAAGGCTCACACTGGAATGACCCAATATATGAAGGCGAAGCCAACTTTTTGTGCTGGCAGACAGCAGCATTGGGTACACTTTAGACTTCGCTGTATACACGGGGAAGTCTTTGTTTGCTTCTGGTGTAGGACTGGCATACGACTCGGTTATGTCCCTCATGAACAAATCATCCCTAGGGAGTGGCTACAATGTGTATGTAGACAACTTCTACACAAGTCCAAAGCTATTCATGGATCTCTACAGCATGAACTTTGGAGCATGTGGCACCAACAGGGACAACAGACGAGGATGCCCCCGCACAACCACAAATGCCATGACCAAAAAGGATCCTAGGGGTACCATCAGGTGGATCCGTGACGGCCCTCTGGTTTTTGTAAAGTGGATGGACACTCGGGAAGTCTCTGTCTGCTCCACAATTCACCCGGCCTTCTCTGGCAACACAGTTCAGAGAAGGGTAAGAACTCAGGATGGAGGCTGGAACACCAAATCCATTCCATGCCCAACCCCTGTCACTGAATTCAATTCAATTCAATTTATTGATGGATAGCCCCTTGAGATGCAACATCTCATTTTCAAGAGGGTCCAATACATAAAACATAAAACAGCAACAAAAGAAAAAAAAAAATTAAACTGCGTCACACACCATTACCGTTAACCTAAGACACACCTTAGCTCTAACATAACTGTCACAAAAAGCACACCACATTTACTCATTATACAATTAGAATCATAATACAGGAAATTCAGTAAACAAAAAGGTGCCACAAAAGAAAGACCGAGGTTGAGTCCACAGGAGATAAATCAGATAGACAAATCCATTAAACAATAGACAGTTGCAAGCAACTCAGACCAACATCAGTAGCATACACATACAGTGTTTAAATATTGGAATAGAGTTAACTTAAATCTACGAAAAGATAAGATGGACCTCAAAAAAAGAGGAAGATTATTCCAATCCTGAGAAGCTTTATAGTGAAAAGACTTTCTACCAGTGGCTGAAAAGATTCTTGGTACAGTAAAAACAAGAGATTGCATATCACGAACAGGATACAAAGAACTGCGTGGAACCAAGAGTTCACTCAAATAAGGAGGGCATTCAAAATAGGCACATTTGAAAATAAAAAGAAACCAATGAAAGTCTCTTCTTGATTTCAGCTGAAGCCAATTCAAGGATGCATACATTACACAATGATGTGTTTTAAAAGGACACCTCAAAACAAATCTACATAAAGAGTTAAATACAACATTAAGAGGCCTAAGAGTAACTTCACTAGTGTTCATGTAGACAATATCAGCATAGTCAACAATGGGCAATATCAACTGGGAAATTAACCTTTTCCTAACTTCAAATGTAAAGCAATTAACAGATTTATAAAGTGTACTAAGACAACCATATACTCTCTTTGTGATATGGTCAATGTGAGGTTTAAAGGTAAGTTCGGAATCAATCCACAACCCAAGATACTTAAATATGTCAGATTTCACCATAGAAGACCCATCAGCAAAATACAGTTTTAAGTTGAGAGCACAAGGACTTCTCTGCCTCGTACCAAACAACATACAACATGACTTGTCCATATTCAACAATAGGTTGTTCCTGTGAAGCCATTCATGAATCTTACTAAAGTCATCTTGTAACCAACCCCTGTCACTGAATACAACAAGAATATGTGAGGTGTTGATCTTTCTGATCAACTCATCCAATACTACTCAGTTCACCATAAAACTATGAGATGGTCAGTGGTGGAGGAAGTACTGAATCTCAGTACTTAAGTAAAAGTACAAATAACAAGAGACATATTTACTTTAGTGAAAGTAGAAGTACCACAATGACAACCCTACTTAAGTAAAAAGTACCTGATTTTAAATGTACTTTAAGTATTAAAAGTAAAAGTACTTGCATAACACTTTATTCTCTTAATGTCTATATTCTAATGATTAATAAAACAGTTAATCCTAACTCATTCAACCTAATACTCCTATTATGATGTTCAATAATGATGGAAAAGCCGTTATTTTTTAAGTTTTTGTCACCATTTCTGAACAAGCTTGCAATTAGGCAATATACATCACATCAAGCTTAATTTGACGGGGTTTGGCTGTAAACGCGATTAATTTATGGCGTAATTCTGAACCTCTTGGCTTGCCATACTAATCCTAACCAAACGTATAATAGGCTACACACGCACCCCACACCACTACTAAATCTACCCATGCGTATCCTATGCACTTAAAAACAAATTTCCGCGTATAAATTGCACGATAAACACTGTAAGGACTGGGCGAGGGTGAATTTGAATAACTAAATACCTTCGTGCTAAAATCCCAAAGCCTTTAGCCCCAAAAGGCCTGGAACTTGAAAAAACACACAAACACACACACACACACACACCTCCCCCACAGCTGACACCCACACTCAGGACAGAGCGTGGTGTCCGCTTACAAGACATTAAGACATTTTATGACATTTTTGAAATGTCCCAAAGGAAGTGAATCCTACAGCGAAAAGAAACTTCTTTTCTTTAAAAGACATTCAACCAGATATATTTGATGTGTTTTTATGTGTGTCCATTTGCCCATGTCACATTGTAATGACTATAATTTGTCCGTAACTTAAAAGTGAATTATAAATACCCTAGGTGTATTTTTAATGTAAATGTTTACCTATAACAGTCGTGTTTGATATCGTAAAAATGCCCTTGACTTGACTCAGCCAGATATATGTATGAACACACCGTAAAAGGTATGATTATGTGCATAACACATCTCTGCAGTAGAAATGACCCTTCCTAACACAGGTCATAATTTAATTAGACAAGCAGTCTGACAAGACAAAGAGAAATAAAACCCAAAGTCCCGCCTGTAAACTTCCAACCCTCTAATTGGCCAAGCCAACAGGAAGAGGCTGGATTTCTCCAAAAGTGATAAAAGACGCTTCTCCCCTTCGCTCGCTCTCTTCCTCCCGTGTCCTCGTGTCATGATGTAACGTCTCGCCTCCGGGCGAGTTCTTCGCCTTTCTTTTATTTGTTTCTAGTTTAGTTTGTGTTTTTCAGTTGTAGATAAGTCTCTGTGTTTAATTCCAATCGACGATTGAAAAGAAAACCCCGTGACATATCTCTTCAGCAAATCCATCTACAAGGGACCTTTAAACGAGCGCGCGCTCTCTTTGAAGGAGAAACACACGCACGTGACCACGTGACGCGCCGGACCGAGAGACACACACGCTTCTTCAAAAGCCATGGAAAGATGCAACGTTAACTCCGCGTGATTTCCCCGTAGAGATCTTTATTCCCTTTTTGTTAGTCAAAGTTTTGTTTTCCGTAGCCGACTCAGTTCACTTCCACGAAGTGAAACGAACTTAGCCGAACTATTTCCCTTTGGAAATGTTACACCAAAGACTTTAAAGTAACCTCCGTTCAACACGCGCGCCAAGCAGCCCACGTGACGCTTCCTCACACACAAAGGACTCAGCTCACGCGGCCAGACAGAGAGACCATAACATAAGTTGATTGCAAGTATAATCTCTTTATAGAGCTTCTAAGAAGTTTTAAGATGATGTTCCGTGTTGTAATCGGAGAGGTGAATGTTTTCCTGCCAATGAAATTCTCCCAATTTCTCTTTTCTCTCTCTCCCCATCCCCTTTCCTCTCTCTCTTACTCGCTCACGCGTGTACGTTGTCAATTGTCCAAACTTTATGCATTTCTCATCATTGATGTCTTATTGTATTGTTCATTGTTGTCTATGTGTTTGTAAATACATATATCCCATGTAACCGTAGTAAATGCATAAGTAGTCATGCCTCTATTAAATTAATTATATATTCATTAGATTGAGGTGCTGTCTCTTTGCTCAATTTCAAGTCACTTAAGTGCCAAAGGTCTAAATGCTACAAGCTTTACGAATTAAAGATACTTTAAAGAGTAACGTTAACGTTATGTGTTGATGGGCGGGAAACCCAATTCTTCTGGCCAGAGAATTGCGTTTCCTGACATCCTATAAAGTAAGATGATATTGTGGATCCCACAAATATTATCCTGACAATTGAGCTAATTCATTTTACCTGTTTGTGAAACATGGTCCGTGTAATTAACTGCAAGCAACTTGTGGTTAATTTCCGGGATTCACATGCACGCATGCAGGTAGAATGACAGATCCTCCCTTATCGGGAGATTTATTAACATGTAAGACCGATCTAATCCAAACATGTATGAATAATTATTAATTACCAATTATTAATTATGATATACAAATTCCCCACGGATTAGATCCGCCCTGAATCCTTACATTAAATGGTGGAGAAATATGCTAAGCACACTTAACACTTGTTTTTGAGCAACAAAAAATCAGTTTTCAATCTATGTCTATATTGTGATTTAATATTGTACGTGCGCCTCGAGTGAGCGAACGCAATGCGAACTCACTGCTGCAAATAATGTCTGACATTCCGTTTGCCATTGTTAATAACTAAAAGTAAACTGCAGTTCATAATATTAAATTTGTCCCACAAAAGACGAAGAAACCTCTTTTGAACGACGACATTTTTAATGTTAAACTCCCCTGTCCGAACGATGTTCTTCTGTCAGGGTGAAGACAAGATTTAGTGAATCGATGCTCTTTCACTATTCTTAAAAAGGCCTTATTTTATAATCGTTAGATTAACGATAAACTCCTGGTTAAAACATTGACGTAGCTACTCAATTGTAAAAACCTAAAGCATATTTAATCATAGGTGCTATTTGATATATGTTATGGGAGTCGAAAAACAGATGAATAATTCCTGTTTTCTCTCGCACAACGCAGCGACGAATCCTGCTAGATGTGCTTGTAAAACATAGCACCGAAAAAAAAAAATCCAACACTGAAAACATTTTTAAATCATAAAATGCTATTTGATAAATGTTATTTGGATCCGAAAAACAGATGCCTA